TTAAGGTGGGGGAGGGGCTTAGTTGGGGGGGAGGTTGAGGGGTAGGTTTTGAGGGGGAGTTCAGATGGGGGAGGGGCTTAGGTAGGGAATGGGGTTTGAAGGGTACTTTGGGTGAGGACATGGAGGGAAGGCAGTGTAGCTCTCAGGAGGAGCAGGACTTGGGGGGCATGGGGAAAGAATGCCCCTGGTGCCCTGTTGGTAGGTGAATGCTAAGGTCTCTGTCTGTGTATCTTTGTGGGTGTCGCAGGTTTGTGGATGGGAATTATTGCCTGTGAATCACAGTGTAAATCCTTGGGGGGAGAGGAGGTTGTGGTTGTTCTTGCAGGTTGTGTTAATTTGGCTGGGGTAGTGGGTAGATATTGTAAATCTTGCTGCTGCAACTCACACCGTTCTCTGGTGTAATGTAAGTACGGGCTGTAGAAAAATACAGGGTTTTTTTTTAAACATTACAAAACGTGGGTTTTTAAAAAATATGTAACTTTTTTTTTTAATGCGTAGCAGCCTCTGTCTGCTGGGAGCTTGGACTCCCCACAAACAGGGGCCATTGCCAACACATGCTACTGCCTTTCTATCAGAAGCTCCTCTCGTGGACTGGCTCCCGCATGCCACCCCGCTCTGCTGCCCCTGGTAGCTGAGAGTGTTGGTGGCATAGGGTTTGAGGAGTCAGTATAATCTGATAGTCCTGCTGTAAGTGTGCCAACTTGAGAGAATTCTGTAGTCAGCATGCACAGAACAGATTATGAACAGGAGGCTACCAGACAACTCACCAGCACCAGCTTCTACAGGCTTCTCTCCTATGATTCCACTAAACACCAAAAAGAACTAAACCACCTGCTCATGAAACTTCCTGATACAACTCAGGACCAGATTTACACAAACACACTCACAAACACCAACCAGAAGCTTTATATCTGCTACCCAAGATCCACAGACCTGGGAAACCCATCATTACAGGACAGTCACATTTTCATCACCTTATAGCGGAAACCTACCGACTGTTATAATTACCTGCATGCCTCTAGCTTCCATTCAACACACATTTCTCAGTCAGTTGTGTGACGGGGTGCGGTCACAGATGACCCCTTGGGGTTGCCTCCCAGGGTGCTGACACCGCCACTGCCACTGTCCTTCCTTCTCTCTGGGGCTCCTCACTGTCTGGTCTGGCTGGGCCAGTTCCGTTGGTCTCCCCCAGCCAAGGCCCTGAGCTGAGATCCCTGCCCCCACGAAGAAGCAGTACAGACACTGAACCACTCCAGGTCCTAGGAGAGTGCAGTTTAGAACCCAGCCTCCTGAGAGAGCACTCCCCAGATGGGATCAAACCCCAAAGAATTAGGTAAGCCCCCTTTAGCAATGAAAGGGGGAATGTGCACACTGGTTGCCTCCCCAGGTAACAATCACTTACACTGGGTTTGATAGAAGATAAACATGGTTTTATTAAGTTGAAGCAGTAGGATTTAAGTAGTAATAAGAGAAAGTAGGTAGAGCAAAGTAGGTTACAAATAATCAAAAGAAACAAAACCGCTTGGCTAATTCTCCACTGAAACCTCAGTGCAAACTTAAACTCACCCTAAAATCTCTTTTCCAGCTACCCCTCCAAACCAGGGCTGTCTCCCTACTCTGGGGTCTCAGGCGCCTTTCTTCAGGGGCAGCCCAGCCAAAAGACCTTGGCCTCTGCTTTCTTATTCCTTTTGTTAAGGAATTGAGGCCACTCCCTACCAACCACTGCTCAGACTTAAGGACAAAAGACGGTTTAACAGTGGCTCATCTAGAATTTGCAGGTAACGCCCTCCATGTCTCCCATTCACACATTTGAAACTCACCAAGTATTCCCCACTCCTTGTGTCGAATTTTGTACACACAAATGACACATACAACAGAGTAAGATAAACAGAACCAGCAGATCATGACATGAAGATCAATAGGTTACATGAAATAATTCGCTCAAACCACCTTTGAGTTATGTATATGCATGTCCAAGAGTCCACTTTGTAAAGCATGGGGGAAGGGTCTGTCACTTAAAACTTAAATACTAACCTGGAGAAGTGGAAAAAACGGATTGACCGAGCCAGACAAGTACCCAGGCATCAGCTTCTGCAAGATAGGCCCAACAAAAAAAGCAATAGAACACAACTGGTCATTACCTAAAGCCTCCAACTTAAACTCCTACAGTGCATTATTATCAATCTGCAACCTATCCTGAAAAATGACCCCTCACTCTCACAGGCCTTGGGGGCATGCCAATCCTCACCTACAGACAATTCTTTCCCGTAACCACATAGTTCACCATCATATTCACCCAGGAACCCACCTCTGTGATCAACTCTGGTGCCAACTCTGTCCACACATCTATACAAGCGGCATCATCACAGGACGTAACCACATCAGCCACCACTTCAGAGGCTCATACAACTGTACATCCATCAATGGGATCTATGCCATCAAGTGCCAGCATTGTCTCTCTGCCATGTATATTGGCCATACTAGACAGTGTCTATAACAAAGGATTAATGGACACAGAGCAGATATTAGAAATGGTAACACACACAAACCTGTTGGGGAACATTTCCACATCCCCGGGCACTCACTAATGGATCCATAAATGTCTGTACTATTTCAAAGCAATTTCAAAAGTCCCCTAGAGAGAGAAACTACAAAACATGGGTTTCATTTACAAGTTTGACACCTTGAATATAGGTTTAAACAAAGACCTGGTCTGTATGGGCCGCTACTTTCCACATCCTAGAAAAACTTAATGTTAACACATTTCTGAGACCGGATGGCATTCATCCAAGGGTTCTAAAAGAACTCAAATGGGAAATTGTTGAACTATTATCTGTGGTTTGTAACCTATCCTTTAAATCGGCTTCCGTACCTAATGACTGGAAGGTAGCCCTCCCTTCCACCAAAACCTTGTACCCTCCACCCCAGCCCGCTCCTGCACCATACTTCTCACCCAGACCTCCACACCTTCTGCCCACGCCCACATGCACACCTCACCTCTTGCCTAGACCCTGCGACCTCCACTCCCCGCCTGCTCCCCAACAGCTCTCTCCCACACACTGAACCCCCCATTTCCGGCTCCACCCTGGAGCCCAGAGAAGACCACAAAATCTACTAGCCTCAGGTCTCCAAAAGAGTTAATCCAGCCCTGGAAGGAAGCCCTGAGCCTCTGCACCCCCCCCCCTCCACTGCGGGACTGGAGCCCGAGGAGGCCCTGGCACCTTAAGTTGGGTGAGTGTCTCTTTTATCCCTACTTCTCAGTTGGGGGACAGGTCAGTGAGGCTATGTCTCCACTCGCAGCTTCTTGCACCAGAAATATTCAAATGAGGCTAAGCGTGGAATATCACCGAGCCTCATTTGCATATCTAATGAGCCACCATTTTTGCAGAAGAGGGTCTTGTGCCTCTTCTTGCGTCTACACTGCCCTTTCTTGCGCAAGAAAAACCCTCTTGCGTGATGCCGTTACACCTATTACTTTTCAGGAAGAACGGCATTGCGCAAGAGGGTTTTTCTTGCGCAAGAAGGGGCAATGTAGACGCTCCTTGCGCAAGAGCCTCTTCTGAAAAAAATGGTGGCTCATTAGGAATGTAAATGAGGCTCGGCGATATTCCATGCTTAGCCTCATTTGCATATTACTCGTGTAGGAAGCCATGAGTGTAGACATAGCCTAAGTTTGATCTGTTAACTGATTAGATGGGGGAGTGGGGAGAGGCTGTCCGCCACAGCTGGGCTGGAGCGGCCCCCATGCAGCAGGCAGGGGATGCTGGCTCCCAGCCCGCACAGGGGTGGGGGAAGAGGGCTGTCACCGCTGGTATAGCAGCCAGGTTGGAGCGTGCCTGCTCGTGGCGGGTAAGGTCCCACCTGTTAACCAGAACCAGTAAGCATCACCCATTGTGGTTAACCTTTCACATCCCTAGTTCAGTTCAATCTACTGTCTTTGGAATCACAAGCTGATATTTGGCAATACTCAGTGATTTAAAAAAATTCCATTTTGTGATGCATGTCAAACTGGTTCCTGTTATGGTACAAAAAATATAAATTTGTTGAATGATAGAACATTCTAGTACTATTGTGCTTAAGAACTGTGCTATTTTTGACGGCTTAGTAACATTTTACCTGTTCACCTATAGAACTTGCTGCCGTGTGGTATGTTGAGATCGAGAGCTTAAGATTCAGAAAAGCTTGCGTGTTTATATGGACAATGAAAACATTTACAATTAAGTTAGATTCTCAAGTCAGGCCAGGAGCCAAACATTAACAGTTGGGGGTTAGGGAATGTTCAGGTGTAGGTTGTTCAAAATTGCTCACTGCAAAGTTTGTTGAACTTTCCTGTTGAACATCTGGTATTGGCTACTTTCAGAATGGACTTGATGTATCACTGACCTCATCTGGCATGACACTTCTTATGTTCCCAATCGTAAACACTTTGGTGCCTTGGAGACTTTTTTCCCCCCTCCTCTTAGCTATTTATTCTTGGGGACTTGCTGTGTGTGTTGTGTGTTAAAGAAATTTTGCAATTTCATGAGCCAGTACACAGAGAATTAGCAGGATTTAAAATAAGAGGCTTAAGTCCTCCTAACTAGAGTAGGATTATTTTACCTGCTGTACAATCAGTAATTTTTTTTAAGTTTAATGCGTAAGTTGTTATTTCTTAGTTATTATAAAGATGCAGCCAAAAGAAACTAATGAGCTGAAGCAGTTTTAAAGAGAGGACCATTAGATTGTGGCATGGGGGCTTATTTTTCCCCCTTCATATTAGGTGTGGATAAGAAAGGTGTTTTTCTCTTTAAAAAAGCAGATTACGTGTCCAGAAAAATTATCCACATGGTATCTGCAGTACTAAATAACCTGTCTTCTCTTTATAGGTGGTGGCTGTTTATGGAACATTATCAGATTTGCTGTCTGTTGCTAGCAATAAGCTTGGAATAAAAGCAACCAGCGTGTACAATGGGAAGGGTGGACTCATTGATGATATTTCTTTGATTAGGTAATGTTTGTCCAAATAAAAGCTAGCTTAATTGATATAGATACTGATAGGCTGTTATATGAAATGAGGAAAATGCTAGAGAAGCCATTTGACTGTCCTGTTGGTTCTTCGGTTAATAACCTGCCTCTAACAATGATCAATATCTGATACTTTAGAACAGGGGTTCTTAGGCTTCATTGCACAGGTACCCCCTTCTGACAACAAAAATTACTACATGACCCCAGAAGGGGGAATTGAAGCCTGAGCCCCATTGCTCCACGTGGGAGGGCCAAAGCCTCCCCATCCCAAACTGTCTCACCTCACCACCCTAATATGGGAGCCAGTTCCATTCCTGGGGCCGCCTCGCTGCTCCCAGGGTGAGCAGTGGGGGAGGTGGGACTTGAACCTAGGCAGAGGGCCTGTAACATAGGTGTTTGAAGTGGTTGGACTTTGGCTTTAGCTCCAGACACAGCAACTCTAAGCCAACCCAATTTGGGGTCCTGACCCATATTATCAGTTATAGAATGCTGCATGATTCTGTGTGGATTCTATCCTGACCCTGTTTGAAGCAAGAGAAAACTAGCACTTTTCCCCTTTAGCGTTCTCCTGTCTGCAGGTCATCTTAGGCATTTATTTGTCAAAACAAATGCTTTGATATCATAGCCAACTTGGGTTTTTTTTTTTCTTTATTTTGAGAGACAAAATTAAACTGCTTGTATAAGTTGAATGTAATGATATTTAACACCTATAATTGTTAAACAGAAATGTGCATACTATACATTTCACAGGAGATGCAACTAATGAACTGAACTAAACTTGCTAAGTAATAGAAGGCTTGATTCTTGCCTGGTTTATACTGGTGAAATTTGGGGAAATCTCCATTGACATTAAGTGTTACGTTCATAAAAAATGGGAGATCAAACTTGACTCTTAAGTAAATGATAATCAATTTCCATTACCTCAATTGGTTGAGAGAGAGAAAAAAGACAGGACTATGCAGCACTTTAAAGACTGGTTTATTAGGTGATGAGCTTTCGTGGGCCAGACCCACTTCCTCAGATCAATTTGTGGAAGAAAATTGGTATGACCATATATACCAAAGTGATACAATTAAAAAAAAAAAAAAGTGAGCACATATAAAATTGACAAATCAGATTTTAGAATGGGGGGGGCGTGGTGAGAAGGGAAGGTTAGTGTCTGTGAGGTAATGATGCTAGGGGTGATAATTGGGGAAGCTATCTCTGTAATGGTTGAGATAATTAGCATCTTTGTTGAGGCCCATAGGTAAAGTGTCAAATTTAAGAATGAATGACAGTTCTGATTTAAGCATCAAATTTAAAGAGAGGTATCCATGGACTAATGACTTTTTATAAAAAAGTATACTTTCTTTTTTCTCCAGGGATGATGATGTTTTGTTTGTTTGTGAAGGGGAACCATTCATTGGTAAGTTTGGGGGGTTTTGACTAAAGTTTTGTCTAGGGATGTTAAAATGCAAATACTTCCCTAATCAAATAGTCAATAGACTTTTCTGTCAACTATTTGATTAGTGGACACGGGTAGGCAGTTGTGGTGCTCATTCTAGCTGGTGCCGATTCACAGCAATAAAGATGTAGCCGTGTTAGTCTGATCTTGCTGAAACAAAAGAGAGGACTATGCAGCACTTTAAAGACTAACAAGATAGTTTATTAGGTGAAGAGCTTTCGTGGGCCAGACCCACTTCCTCAGCAAAACGTCCCCAACTACGGCTCTTCATTGTAAAGCCCAGAGAAGCCGGCACTTAAAGGCACTAGCACAGCCCCTGCTCCGTGGGTCTCTTTTCATTCAGCAGACCACAACTCCCCCCCCCTCCTCGCCACACACAGTTGGGGTGTGTGTCTGAGGTCTGATTAATGAAAAGAGACCATGGAGCAGGAGCCATGCTAGCGCCTTCAACTGCTGGCTTCCCTGGGCTGTACAATGCAGAGTGGCAGCTGTGTGTGTGAGGTCTGCTGAATGAGGAGAGACCTGCAGAGCGGGGGCCGTGCTAGCACCTTTGCACGTTGACTTCTGTGGGCTTTACAATGCAGAGCAGTATCTGGGGGGAAGCGACCAGCCAATAGTGCTAATCAATAAGCTCCTGCTTATCAGTTGGTCAACTAGACACAAACATCTCTAGTTTTGATGCTTGAAGAAACAGATTTGAAGTAAATGTAAAATATATATGAAATTCTTTTCACTAGTGTGAAAACGGTGTTCTGAAGAGGTGTTTCATAATGTGGGATAATTCAGAAATACACTTGACTAAAGATCACTTTGTACATTTCGTCAATGTAGATCCTCAGACCGATGTAAAACTTCACGAAGAACTAACAGGGTCGCACACAGATTGGTTAACACTAAATGTTGGAGGCCGTTACTTTACAACTACACGGTGGGAAAATAACTATTTACGTTTTGTTTTCAAAGGGCTATAGATTTCCGTGAGTTGATACTGTTAATTGCATTATCTGATTGTATGTTCACTTGATGAGTCTTCAGAGGGCAAATAAAAGAACATTGGGAAAAAAATCACTTTAGGGGAAAATCTTTCTCTGCGGTTTCTTAGTGTTTGCTATTACTGATTTAAAACAGTTTTTAGTATTAAAAACCTGCCAGAAAATTGTACTACTTGGAATTTTCTCTACTACACTTTAGTCAATCAAATAAGCTCTCTTCTTTTAAGATGTCTCATCAGAATAATTTTCTGATTCTTATGTAAAATAGGTCTGGTACAGCATTGTAATTTAGAGATGCACCTCTTACTATCATCACTTTCATAACTGTAGGTATAAGAAATTATTGATATGTTGCAATGTACCTTTTGAGCTAAGGGAAACTAAATATAAATTGAGTTTTCTTTATTTTTCAGGAGTACTTTAGTTAATAAAGAGCCTGACAGTATGCTGGCCCGTATGTTTAAAGGTAAAGGTTGGTATGCTTAAATCGACTTATTCCTTAAAGTTAGTAGAAACAATAGAAATGCCGTCAATTTTCATTTTAAAAAAGTCACATGCTCCTTATGAGTTTGTTAGAGTACAAACACAGAACTTGGAATACTCTGCTTTTCACCAGTTGTGCTAAAAGTTTGTACGATATCTTGAAAATGTTAATTATAATTGGTAATACTCAGGGCTTGACAAGCGGCAGCAAGCCCCGCTTGCCAGCCGTGCGGTTTGGCACACTGCGCATGCGCTGACCGTGCTGGGCATGCACAAACCGCTCTGCGGCGCGGTGCCAGGCTAAAATCTACTTGCCACTAGTGAGTAGATTGCCCTAATTGTCAAGCCCTGGTAATACTTATACTTTTAGATGCACCTCACTTTGACAGTTCAAGATGTTGTGCTTAAAAGAAGCACCCGGGATCTTTTTCAGGGGGATAAGGCAACACGCCACATTTATTGAACATACATAGATCAATCAGTACTTTATCATATGCATATGATATATAACATTCATGCACTCTCTCACACACACACACACGCACGCACACTCCATCTTGTTGTTACCAATAGTTGCTCCCGCTAACTACACTGGTCAGGTGAGTTAGATGTGTGAGGGGTTGAGCTGGCCTTCTGCCGATCCGGATCGATGCTCCCATGTTGACAAGACAAAAGCCCTCTGCAAGATGCCTCCTATCAAGAGACAAAGATCCAGTCTGTGCTCCAGTAAAACTAAAAGGCTACGTCTACACTGGCCCCTTTTCCAAAAGAGGCATGCTAATTTGACAGGTCGTAATAGGGAAATCTGCGGGGGATTTAAATATCCCCCGCGGCATTTAAATAAAAATGTCCGCCGCTTTTTTCCGGCTTTTAGAAAAGCCGGAAAAGAGTGTCTACACTGGCCCCGATCCTCCGGAAAAAAGCCCTTTTCCGGAGATCTCTTATTCCTACTTTGAAGTCAAATTAGCATGCCCCTTTCGGAAAAGGGGCCAGTGTAGACATAGCCAAACAGTCCTGTTCTGCTCTGATTTATGTTGATTCAACTACTGTATCTTGTGCACTAATATATATTGTTTTCTGTTTACAGTTGCTCCCTCTCTTTTTTCTGTGTGTCCCTTCAAGTAAATCATCACAATCTGTTAATTTTTGTAGTGTGAGGATACTTTTTTTTTTATATTTTGATTACAACCATAACAGTTATCATTGTATCAAATTTATTTTTTTCTTTGTGTATGTGGAAACAGATGTCTGGGGAAATAAGCAGGATCACAGGGGAGCATTCCTAATCGATCGCAGTCCAGAATACTTCGAACCAATTCTAAACTATTTGCGTCATGGACAGCTCATTGTAAACGATGGCGTTAATTTGCGAGGTGTGTATTATCCCTACAATACGTTCATTGCCAAAAGATAAACTGTGCCTCTAGGTACATCCACTGGTAACAGTAAGAGTTGTGTATGTTTACCTGCGGGTTTGTAGATGATTTTTAAAACTTTGGAGTATTTGTTATAAGTTTAATTCTGTGATTTACAATTTAATGAATCTTCATATCTATTCATCTTGAGGCTTGTCAGGATTCTTGGCATGCCCCAATCGAATACAATAATTCTGGATTTGATTCTTTAACCCACATGCACACTAGTTCTTCTTTGTCCCTTATGTAAAAGAAACACTGTGTTGGAAACACACTATTACTAAGGTCGATTATTTTTCCTTTATCTATGGATAAGGTCTCCTCCTTTTCTCCTCCCTTCTCATATGTAATGTAACGTATATGTTGATAGTTTTATTTTATATAGCTAGGGGATTATGTTTAAATTCAACAACAAGTGGTTTTTGTCTTCCTGAGAGTTAAATGATGAATTAGGGAGAGAGAATTGAATTTATACCCTTGCAATTCCTAGGAACAGATCTGCACAGGGAAGTTTTAAAGATCCTTGTATCCCAGCAAAGGAGGGAGCTTGGCATTGTGTTTTCTAAATAGCCAAGTAACTTTCTCTTCTGCTAGGTGTCTTGGAGGAAGCCAGATTTTTTGGCATTGATTCATTGATTGAACATCTGGAAGTAGCTATAAAGGTAAATTTTGTTGTATTTGACTTTTTTAGAAGCAATTTTATCTCTCACTTCTATAAATGTTAGGATTAAACTTTTGATGCAACTTCCTTGCAGAATTCTCAGCCAGCAGAGGATCATTCTCCTATATCCCGGAAGGAATTTGTCCGATTTCTGCTGGCAACCCCAACTAAGTCGGAACTGCGCTGTCAGGTATAATATAAACTATAGTACTAGAGAGTCCAGTAGCAAAATGTCTTCTATCTCAAGTGACAATTAGTGATATGGAGACCAAGCTGTGTCTGTGGAGGATTTTTTTTCGCCCTCTATTTCCTTTTAAATGTTAGACAGGAGGTCTTGATTCAATGATATAGCTCAGTGGTCCCTAATGTTTCGTGGCTGCTGGGCGCCTGGGGGTGGGGCCGCCCACGCGCCGTGCACCTGGGGCTGGCACCACACATGTGCCACACCCCTAGGGCTGGCACCAGCCCAGATGTTTTGGCAGGCACACATAAATGCCCCGGCGGGCGCCATGGCGCCCACGGGCACTAGGGCGCCCATGGGCTCCGCGTTGGGGACCACTGACATAGCTAATCCAGAACTAAACATGCAGAGAGAAGAAATTCCCTTTTGTTTTGCTTTTTATTGTATTATTTTCGGTTGAAGGTTTCATGTAGCAGCCATTGATTGAATTAATCCATTTCCTACTTAATGAACTAACATTACTGAGGACAATGTATGAGGTTTTGTATTTACATTTCATTAGGTTTCCTATGGAGCAGGTGGCATTCTTATGTATATTTTTCTTTAATTTATAGGGCAAAGGACACTAGTTAGCCTTGTATAATGTTGTAAATTCCTTAGGTATTTACAACAAATTTGTTCAGATCTGGATTTAAGTATAATTAAACATTAGACACTTACCTTCATTGTTTATCTTAGCATGTATGGGGATGAAATAGAATTATCAAGTCTTTTAAACAGATTGGAATAATAGTTAATGTGTAGATATTTAGTGTTTTATAACTAAAAATAAATTATTTTATTTGTAAAGCTTCTTACACAGTCCAATGCTCCAATATCTCTCTGATCTAAATATTTTCATCTTAGAAATGGGAGAATTGAGTCAGAAAGATTGTCAGCAGCCTCCAAGGGAAAGGTGTTAGAGATGAGATTAGAACTCTGAAGCTTCTGACTCAGTTTTGTACTTAAACATCTGGACTAAGCCTCATTTTCAATTTCTGTATTTTTTTTTTAAGGGTCTAAATTTCAGTGGTGCAGATCTCTCTCGGTTAGATCTTCGATACATCAACTTCAAGATGGCTAACTTAAGCGGCTGCAACCTTGCCCATGCCAACCTTTGCTGTGCAAATCTTGAACGGGCTGACCTCTCTGGATCAGTGCTTGATGTGAGAATTGTGTCTTTAAAAGTCTGAGCTCTTGTGTATTACATAGAAGAGCAATAATTGGAACAAATATAAAACAGCCACATTTATTTTTAAAACCTCTGCAAGTACTTGAATGTACATGTCACTTCACAACTCTTATTTTAAAAATTTGATTACCCAAAGACTTGCCCTGGCCTATTTTGCTAGGTTTTTAGTGCCTGAAAAGGTTATAGTCCTTCCAAAAGTTTTGGTCTCCTTCCATCCCCAAATACATTTCTATAGAAGTGTTGGTCTACAGTAAATAAGTAAAGCTTTAGATCTTAAGCTTGCATTGGGTCTCTTGTAGAGCTGCTTTGTGCTATTGTGCTACTTGCCATCCTAGGAGGTTGGTGAGGGACCAGTATTGTAAGATTTCACTCTTCTCCTTAGATGGCAGCATATCCTTGCTTTAATGGGTTTCAGTGCCTTATTTTAGAACCCTGCAAATCCATGGATGTCTGCTTCATATCCACAGGTATCCATAGCTCATTTTTTGCGGATATGGATGCAGATACACATTTTGTATCCAGAACCCTGCAAATTTGTGGCCAATCGCAAGTATCTGCATTTGCAGATGAGTCACAGATACCCACACTGACGTTTTTACAGATACGCATGCAGATACAAATTTTATATCTGCTCAGGGCTCGTATTTTAAAACTATGTTCATGCTGCCACTAATATTGGTATAACTTATGTCACTTGGGTGTGAATAAGTTACACAAACCTAAGCACTGGTGTGGATACTGTTAAACCAGTGGAAGAGTTGCTACTGCTGCCCGTTGGGGGTGAATTAAATCAAATCGATGGGAGACCTCTCTCCTATTGGCTGACAGCAGTTACACCGCAGAGTGTACACTGGTGCAGGTGCACTGCTGTGAGTTCTGTAGAGTAGCCATACTCTAAGACTATATGATCTGAACTATTGTTCTTACCTTTGGGTCTTAGAGTTCTCTGAGCTGTATGTAGAACATCACTGATGGCATGTACCTCTTTCTTCGCCAGTGTGCAAACCTCCAAGGTGTAAAGATGCTCTGTTCCAATGCAGAAGGGGCATCACTGAAAGGATGTAATTTTGAGGATCCCTCAGGCCTTAAAGCTAACCTGGAAGGTAACAAAAATAGTCTCTCTCTTTGGTATCCACATATTTTTGGGAGTCCTACAGACTAAAAGTGCAAAGAGTCCTGTGACTTTTGTTAAGTAGTACATGACAGAGGTTCATCCTTAATTTGTGGAATCAGTATCTTTGAGGGGGCTTTGTATGGAAGATTGAGAGCATGTCACTGGAAGGCAGGAGCTCCTGAATTCTAATTTTTTTTTTCTTCCGTGACTTGTTTTGAACTTGGACAAGTCCACAAAGCCCTGTGATTACCTAGCTTTGTGCAGGGGGTTGGCTGTGTAAATTTCACCCTTGAGTATGGGTCTTTGTTTTTGGTTGACCTATTGTTTGTGTTTTGTTAGGTGCTAACCTGAAAGGTGTTGACATGGAAGGAAGTCAGATGACAGGAATTAATCTAAGAGTTGCAACTTTGAAAAATGCAAAGCTAAAAAACTGTAACCTCAGAGGAGCAACTCTGGCAGGAACTGACTTAGAAGTGAGTAATGTTTTTGTTTCATACCCAGTAACTTGTCTAATAATTATATTTTCAGTTTAGCTAAACATCAGCATTTATAGAAGGTTTTAGCAAGGTTAATTCCTTTCAGATGGATTATCTATTAAATAGAACACAAGGATACTTTAAACTGGGAGCAATGAAGAAGCCCTGATTTTTAAGTTTAGCAGCTGTCGGTTTTCTTTTAGATTTGTCCTCTTATTGCCCCAAATCATCCATATCTTAGCCAATTCCTTCACTAAAACTAAAATTGACCGAAGTTGTTTTTGGTAAGCAACCAAAATCTAAATCTGAAAGAGTTTACCAGGAATTGTAGGGTGTCCACTGTCCAACTGTCTCTACCTTGCTCTAACTACCATTCTGCAGAAAGGGGGAAGACTTTATTAGCTTAAACAAAAAACAGGACTATGTAGCACTTTAAAGACTAACAAGATGGTTTATTAGGTGATGAGCTTTCGTGGGCCAGACCCACTTCCTCAGATCAAATAGTGGACCAAAATTGTCACAACCATATATACCAAAGGATACAATTACAAAACTGAACTTTATCTATCACTTTATTAGCTTAGACTCTCATAGGATGATTTCCGTGTATGCTTAATCTGAAAGGCTTTTCTTTTATATCCCTTAGAATTGTGACTTATCAGGCTGTGATCTACAGGAAGCTAACTTGAGAGGCTCTAACGTAAAAGGAGCTATCTTTGAAGAGATGCTGACACCTTTACACATGTCTCAGAGTGTCAGATAGGGTCTGGGACAGTTGACTGGAATAATACATGCTGAAGAGGAAGAAATGAAAACACTTATTATGACTGTCTTTCTCCACCCACTCCTTTTATAATCTAGACATACCATTTATTAGACAATTTATATCCATAGTGCCTAAGGAAACACCTCTGATCACTTTTTTATGAATGTCGTTGGGGAAGTGGGCTGGTTTTAGAACCAGGAATGTTTGGTTTTCAAATAGGATTGTTTTAGCATCACCTCATTTGGAATGCATTTTTAGGATTTTAATTTAAAAAGCACAATATATGCAATTATATTTATTACATTTATAGCTGCAATATAAATATATGAAATGTTAAACATATACAGTAGCAGAAATGGTCAGGTTTACAATTAGTATTAGCATATCTACAGGTTTTTTTATTTATGCACAGTGTATTAAAGGATAAATGTGTTTGGGACTGGGTTCCCAATATATCTTTTCAGGTACTTTCTTTTTTTGGGGAAAACAAAACACCATTTCACTAAATTATCACAGGTAATATTACCCTGTAGTAGCTTGAATGCAAGTATGCAGAGGCTCGGCCAACTTCTGAAATATACATTGTAAGCATCCTTGCCTCTATATCTTCACTAAAAAAATGCACAGCAGAGCATTGTTATAATTATAACTTTAAATAAGCATGTTCCAAGACACAAACTACTTATTTAGCTGATTCAACATTAGTGGAAAGTGCTGATAAGTGAAATTCTCTCTAGCTTATGTGTGTCCCTTTCAGCACCAAGCATAAGTGCATGTGTTTGGGGAAGTGGGTTGTTTTTTTTTTGGTTGGTTTGTTTTTAAACAGGAAGTTAAGTGTGGATCAGGAAAAGAAAGATAGAGTTGACTCCTCCAGAAAGGTAAACAGAGGGGCTGTGTCTAGCCTGGCCACTTTTTCCGGAAAAACTTGCCAGCTGTTTACACTGGCCGCTTGAATTTTCGCAAAAGCAATGACGATCTCACGTAAGATTGTCAGTGCTTTTGCGGAAATACTATGCTGCTCCCGTTCAGGCAAAAGTCCTTTTCCGAAAAACTTTTGCTCAAAAGGGCCAGTGTAGACAGCAGAGATTTGTTTTCCGCAAAAAAGCCCCGATCGCGAAAATGGCGATCGGGGCTTTTTTGTAGAAAAGCGCGTCTAGATTGACCACGGACGCTTTTCCGCAAAAAGTGCCAATCTAGACGCTCTTTTCCGAAAATGATTTTAATGGAAAAATTTTCCGTTAAAAGCATTTCCGGAAAATCATGCCAGTCTAGACGTAACCAGACTGTCCCATTCCAGTTACTACTACTGTGTATGGAATGACAGCCGTTGCCCTCTGCACACATGCTATGTAAGCATCTTGTAGGCTTAATTCAAGAAAGCCTAGATAGCATGGACCTTGGCCAGTGCTCCATGTTGGGCTTATTCAGAGCAGCTATGGGAGCCACTTACCTAGTGCAAAACCCCTTTCCATTACTGCTCTTTACCTGTGAGTGCACAGGGAGGCATGGAGTTTCTGCAGCACAGAAAGCCTTGTGAGATCTCTGCCTAGCAATGATGTTCACTCAGTAAGCTGTTTCCGCTGTAATACCAGCTGAGAACCTCTCATATATCTCCATAATTGTTCTTGTACACAAACAAGCACAAACCTTTTATACCAAATAAAAACTGGGTGCATCACAAATACTTACCTCACTTACCAACTCTAATACCCCAAAGTCAAAATCATCGTTAAAGTTGAAGGAAACACAAATATTACTAGTAGATAAAAACACATGTGGCATGATGTTAAACTTGCAAAGCTTGCCAGTGGGTAACAGTATTCTAAATTGGCACAAGAACATCTGTGCTTTGCCTTTTTAGCTGCAGAAGTGCAGATCTTGTGCACAAAGGAAGGTGATTTGGTCTTAAAGGTTACAGCAAAACTATTTATTTTCCTAGGAAAGGTCAGGTCTGAAAAATTGCTTGGCGAAGAAAGGGGGGGCAGCTGTAAGAGTCTACATTATTTTCCAGTTGTATTTAACTCCTATGTCACATGACCTTTTGGAGCAGAATTGGGATTCATCAGGCTCTTAGGCCTTTGGGCTTACTGGACATCACTGTCCTTAGGTGAAATGCAGTTGTATCTTCATGTCAAAATGTTGTATTTATAAATATCAGAGGGACATTTCTTAATGTACCACTTTCCTTCAGAGGAGAGTAAAGTACATGCATTGAAGGAAGAATGGATTGTATGGCTAGTTAAATGAATTATTTTTGTTTATAATTTTTGTAGCAGGCAGTCAAATGTATGGGAGAAATCTATTTTCATAATCCAATGTATGTAAATTATATTTAAACTATTTCACTGATATTCTCTTGAATAATAACAGCATAAGGCATTGTTCACTTAAACTTATTTGTAAGGTACCTCTCTTGCTACGACAAGGCTGCAGGAATAGCCACAAATGGCATGTTCTGAAAATACAGGTCCTAGCCTAATGTAAACCGGCTGCATCAATAAATAGAATAAAATGTTTAAAAGGAGTCTAGTTTTTTAATTGAGTGAGATTGTGAAAATACAAGACATTTAAAATGCTTTGCCAGAACATACATGACTCTTATTTAAATGAATCAAGGAAAATATAAACTGGAAAAAACCTTACTTGTCAGTGAAAGGCAGATTAAGTTTTGTGCATGAAAAGCATTCAGATTTTGACCAGATTTTGAAAAATGCTGAGCAGACTTTCAAGACCACTCAGTTCCTTTTAGCCATCATAATTGGCGGGGGGCTCAGGAAATATAAGAAATAGGCAAAGAAACTGTGTGAGTTCTGTTCTATTCTGTAACTTTCTCCAAGCACTAAAACATTTTAAAAGCTTGATTAATTATAGCAGCAGGCGTAGTGTGTTAAATCTTTCCTGCTGAGATGTTACATTAGGAAAGAAAATTGCTCTTTCCTAAAGTAACTAAATCCTCAGAATAGTTTAATCTTTATCAAATTATTTGTAATCCATTAATCTGAAAGGGTATTAGACAACTGTGAATAGCCTACTGAACAAGATGGAGGAAATATTTTACTACCTACATGCAAAATGGAGTGCATGGGATACAAATTCAGATTTTTGCAGCTAGGTTTGCATTTATCTCCTCACTGTAAATGTTAATTGGCATATTTATAGTCTGCAATGCCTTTTAACGCCATAAAGTAAGGGTCATTGCTTAAAGGCATTAACACTGTTTTATTGCAGTAGTACATAGAAGCCCCAACTAGTACCGCATGGTGTTAAGTACTGTACAGACACAAAACAAAAAGATGGCCCATCAGACAACCTAAGTCATACAATTGGCTACGGAATCTTCTAAATTGTACTTTGAATTTTATAGAACCAAGAATATCCAGGCACTTAAAGATATTGGCCACATTTTCAGAAGGGCCACGTTTTCAAAGCCTGTCAGCATGCAATGGACACTCAATGTACTGAGCACTTTTGCAAATTTAATGCTTACTGGTGCCTAAATGGAAGCTGACCTTGGCCCTTGAGGTCGGATGCACAGAGATGCTTAATGATTCCCTTGCACATTTTAACTGTTGCACACAGCACTGTTTGCATCTCAGCAGCTCCAAACTTACTCAGGATGTACTTGCTACCTACAGTAATTATGAGCCATTGAAAAGAAAATGAGGCTTTTCCCTAGGGAACCTCTAAGTTATGGCTCCTTAAAATAAAGAGTTACTGTTATGCTTCTTAGTGACAATCCGCTGAATTGAATAGCTACACCAGCGTGCTCTGATTATGTGCTTCGCTTCAGGTACACTCTAGCAAATTTAAGAACAAAATTGCGGAGAGAATTAAATTGTCACCTGCTGGGAAAGCGTCAGTAGAGGATGGTTGGGAAGATGGATATATAAAAAGTACAATGACGGGCGCAACATGCACAATATTTTCCAAAGAAGCAGAGTTGGAATTATTCATTCAGCAGCTTCCCTCATCGAGCAGGTAATGTCTTTGAGCATTACACATTTTGCACACTCAAGTTTCTCTAGTTCCTTGACTGGGAAAGACTGCAGAGCATTTCTCAAGGACTGAGGTATTGTAAGAGAAGCTAACTGGATCAGTTGCATCGTGAGATGGACTTGCACCAAAACTGAAACCTTGGGGAGGTGTTCAAATTGTGCAGAAAGTCCTCTTTATATTGGACTAAACCTAAAGTCTGGAGTTGAACACATCCAGACTTTTTAAATATGAGCTTGAATTGCATGTGTCATAATGGCAGCTGTGTTGGGTCAGAATTTATGATGCATTCCAGAAATACTAACAGTGATTTTTGTAGTAACAGAATTGAGGCCCCCGGCCCACAATATGATAAACTGATTATTGAATAATCTTAGGAAGAGGGCGGAATATGAGACCAATGAATTCTCGTAAGTAGAGGCACCATTGGTTTTTTATAGAGTACTCACCATCCTGGTTCACTCCTTGTACTTTTTTGCATTTTGCTTTCCAGTAGAATGGAGAAGACCCAAAAGTTCTTTGTAAGTCTTCTCTTGTTTGTCCTGTCTGTGGAGATTTGCTTGGCTCAACACTGGTCTTACGGCCTTCAGCCCGGAGGAAAGAGGGATGCTGAAAACCTGGTAGAATCATTCCAAGAGGTAGGTTATTGATTCTAAAATACTTTATTCATTGTGCATTACTCCGCAAACCCTCTCTAGTCCTGTGGGGGTTGCAAGCAGAATAGCAGCCTTAGAATCTAAAGGCTACATCGCAAGTAATCCCCCATGGATTCCCATCAGCCGGCTTAGACCATGGGTCTATGAAATGGTAGCTACCCAAGCCTAGCTGAGCACATTGCAGTTTTGCAGCACTGCAGCCGAAGCCAGCTCACACAGGCCAGCTGTGGGTAGTTAATTGCAGTGCAGACATCCCTTGATGTGGGTCATTCATGCATTTAAAAAATTGTTTTGGAAAGGCTAATTTTGTTTTAGTGAAAGAGGTCATCTTGGCGGAGACTCATCGCTAACGGAAGAGGAGATACTGTCTGGGCTGTGGCCGTTTCCCGTGAGCTCCAAGGCGTGTTTTAGTTTAAAATCTGAGGAGCTCATGTTTGACTCAGAGAAAACCTCTAGGAATGAGAGGGAAATTGAATGTCTAGTTTCAGCCAGTCCATAACCTCTCTGCTATATTGTCAGCTAAGGTTCCAGTCAGCTCTCTTGTTATGGCAACACACTCTCAACTCCAGCTCGGGTAGCTCAAGGAACTCTCTGGTAAGTGGTGGCCACTCACCTGGATTCAAACCAGTAACCAGAGCTAAAAACCTCTGTCCACCAACTCCATCCCTGAGTCGGATTCATCAGATAAGCCGCATCACACTGGTTCTCTGCAGTAGGAGGGAGACTGAGGGAGTAGAAAAGCATGCCCATGCTAGCATAGGAGTGTGATCCTCTAAGCTAGCGGAAGAGTCTCTTTCCATGACATTTGTATTCTTTTCCAATTCAGATCGCTAGTGAAATGGAGAAAATGGGGGAACTACAGCATTTTGAATGCACCGGCCCACAGCAGCGCTCCATGCTCGGTGGTCTGAAGGGAGCTCTGGTAAGTAAAAGTTTTGTTGCTATGGAAACTCAAAGGACCACTTTTTTTGTGGGGGTGGGGGGGTGTCTGTACTTAGCGAGGCCACTGCACCAAATGGGGCTTTCAAAATCAATGTCTGCTAAATGTTACTTTCATCCCAATTCTGTGCAGCATTTGCAGCTCGTTAAGCCCCAGATCAACTGACAGAGTTAAGGAATCGGACATCTGCAGATTTGCAGGGCGCTAATCAAAACCACTAGCCCTGTTTGAAAATCTCAGCTTCCACGTTTACACACTATTAACTATTACCCTCAAGCAACTGAGGGTACGTCTACACAGCAGCGTTATTCCGCAATAACAATGCGAGTGTCTACACAGCCATTCCATTATTTCAAAATCTGTAAACCTCATTCCGCGAGGAATAACGCCTCTTTTGAAATAGCTATTTTGGAATAGCGGTAGTGTGGACACTCCATGGCTGCTATTTCACAATAGCTGCTTCCCAGGGCCATTGAAAGTAATGACTTCCCAGTGCCTGCTGGGGCTTTAAATCGAGGTAGCGTGTCCACATTAAGGGAGCCTGCCTCGGACTAATTTTGAGGCTTCCCTGTAGTGTAGACGTGCTATTTCAAAATAAGCGTGCTGTGTAGATGTACCTGACTGAACAAAAGCAAACCTAGGCTACCTGGAAAGTTGCGGCACTTGGAGGTTCGCAGAACGTATGGGCCAAATTCTGACACTGCAAATGTGTACACAAGTGTGCTTTGACTTCAGAGGGGAGCTGCAGGTACTTAATTTTAAACTCTTTGGGGCAGAGATTTTGTAGAGCACCTAGCAAAAAAAGTTCCTGGGCTTAGAAGGCTCTACTCCCAGACACATAATGGCTGTGTCTAGACTGGCCACTTTTTCCGGAAAAGCGCCTGCTTTTCCGGAAAAACTTGCCAGCTGTCTGCACTGGCCGCTTGAATTTCCGCAAAAGCACTGACAATCTCATGTAAGATTGTCAGTGTTTTTGCGGAAATACTATGCTGCTCCCATTTGGGTAAAAGTCTTTTTCCGAAAAACTTTTGCGCAAAAGGGCCAGTGTAGACAACAGAGATCGGGGCTTTTTTGCGGAAAAGCACGTCTAGATTGGCCACGGATGCTTTTCTGCAAAAAGTGCTTTTGCGGAAAAGCGTCCTACCAATCTAGACGCTCTTTTCCGAAAATGCTTTTAACGGAAAACTTTTCTGTTAAAAGCATTTGCGGAAAATCATGCCAGTCTAGATGTAGCCATAATGAAGAATAATGCTTTAAAAGTATCTGCACCAGGATCCTGTGCCCGTGGAAACCTTTATTGGGGAAATGGAAAGAGGAGGCAGTGAATCATATGAATGCTTCTTACCCATTTAGGAGGCTGTTGTTTTCTTCCTCTCTCACAGCTGAAGGCTCGCTAATTGGATTTTCAGGTTTGCTGATCTAAAATTACTTAAATATATTTGCAATCTTACATATGGCATGATGAAAGGAGTTTAATGCAGAGGCTTAAGAATTTATGCCTTGGGTATTAACTCTTATGTGTCCGCTTCTCCTATAGTAGATCTCAGGGGTTCTCTACCTTTGTCTTTGAGGCCCTGCCAAAAGTCCACATTTCAGCTGGTTTTCTGCTTATAAAAGCCAGCTCCAGTGCTAGGCGCTAGCAAGCAGTGCAGGTGCCTGGGATTCCACATCACAGAGTCTTTGGCTTTAGCCCCTGGTAGCAGGCCTCAGACTCTGGGTTTCAGCCCTGGGCCACAGTGCATCTGACACCGAGCCTGCTTGGTGGAGCCCCTGAGACTCATTTGAGGCCCCAGCATGAGTTGAGACCCACTGATGTGTCATACACTCTGGGACACTTGCTGCAGCCTGCACAGATCCCCCTCGTTTCCAGCTGCAGAACGATGCTGAAAATTCATTGTCCTTTCCCTCTTCCATGTAACCATTTTTCTAGTTGTCACAGAGATGTTACACAACCAACAACGAGAGAGAGACAGAAATGAATGGGAAGGGATGTGTCCAGGGAGGCAAACCTCAAGTCTACGTCTAGACTGGCATGATTTTCCGGAAATGCTTTTAACGGAAAAGTTTTCCGTTAAAAGCATTTTCGGAAAAGAGCGTCTAGATTGGTAGGACGCTTTTCCGCAAAAGCACTTTTTGCAGAAAAGCATCCGTGGCCAATCTAGACGTGCTTTTCCGCAAAAAAGCCCCGATCTCTGTTGTCTACACTGGCCCTTTTGCGCAAAAGTTTTTCGGAAAAAGACTTTTACCCAAATGGGAGCAGCATAGTATTTCCGCAAAAACACTGACACTTCCGCAAAAAGCACTGATTTCTTACAGTAGGAAGTCAGTGCTTTTGCGGAAATTCAAGCGGCCAGTGTAGACAGCTGGCAAGTTTTTCCGGAAAAGCCGCTGATTTTCTGGAAAAACCAGCCCGTTTAGACACAGCCCAATGGTTTCCCAGAGGGAATACATATAGAGGTGCTGATACTAGAATTTATCCTCTAGGTCCCATATTTGCCTTGGGTGTTGCATGCTGTGTGCCTGTCTTGTGTAATGTGTGTCAGGGGTTCTCAATAAGATGGAAGGCTTGGCCAGGGGTTAGTGAGAGATTCAGAATAGGATTCAACTCCATGCTACAGACTTCAAGCCATTTTGGGGCCTAAACTCCATTTGGCCCAATGGCAGCAGATAGGCACCTACTGCATACCACAGTGGTAGGAGCCATACAAAGCACTTACCTCTTGCAGATTGGGGGATAGACTATATCACTAGCATCCTAGGCTACAAGAACAATAGACGTGGCAAGATCAATCAGTACTCAAAATGCAGACTGGGTACTGCGGGAAGTGGTGTACTGCAGGTGTGACCATACTGAGATATGCCAGAGCAGAGAGTAAGTGTTTAGCTCTGGTATTCTAGGCAAAGGCTCAATTTGTATAGGGACACTTAAAATATTGATATTTCCAGTCACTACATTTCTTCATTCCGTGTCCTAAATCATAGTTGCTATTCATTGTTCAACAGTTGCTATGTTGCAATCAAGGAATGGCTGCTTTTCAGCGATAGGCTAACTACTTGATGTGGGATTGGGAAGGAATGGTTATCAATGTTAAGTGGTGGTGTACTGGAATATCTGCTACCCGGGCAGGTGGCAAAGAGATCAACTTCATTCAAATTTCTGCAGCCCAAGCCCTCTTCCTAAGAGAATGCATGCAGAATAGTATTTCACCTGGCCTTAAAATTCCAAACATACTCATTTTTCTGTTTGTTTTTTTTAAAACCCAATCATACATTGTGTTACAGGCAAGTCTGATTGAAGGAGAAGCAGGGCGAAAGAAGATTTGAATTCATGAAGGCAAATGAAACACAGGACCCATTGCTGTACTGTTTCAAAGCAATGATTTAGCACTAAGGTCTGATCCCTGTTTAGATCACTATGTCCTGTGCATAAATATTCTAATAAAAAATTTATTGAGAGGCTGAAAAATCTTTTTGGGTAGAATATTAGTTCTTGGGTAAAATAAGTGGTCCCTGGGGTGACAACAGAATGGGATTCTGTTTACCACTCTGCCACTGACCTGATGTATGATTTTTCACATATACAAGCACAGGCAGCGTCTAGACTGGCATGATTTTGCGGAAATTCTTTTAACGGAAAAGGTTTTCTGTTAAAAGTATTTCCGCAAAAGAGCGTCTAGATTGGCACGGATGCTTTTGCTCAAAAAGTGCTTTTGCGCAAAAGCATCCATGCCCAGTCTAGACGCGCTTTTGCGCAAGAAAGCTCCGATGGCCATTTTAGCCATCCGGCTTTCTTGCGCAAAAAATGAAGGTGCCTGTCTACACTGGCCCTCTTGTGCAAGTATTCTTGCGCAAGAGGGCTTATCCCTGAGTGGGAGAGTCAAAGTATTTGCACAAGAAGCACTGATTTTGTACGTTAAAGTCAGTGGTCTTGTGCAAATTCAAGTGGTCAGTGTAGACAGCTGGCAAGCGGCTGCTTTTGCGCAAAATCTTGCCAGTCTAGACGCACCCAGAGGGGTCTAGTTAAACGAGTCCCTCATCTTGGCTGGGGCCTCTGAATGCGTAAGCTGATCTACTGTTACATCATAATTTCAGCAGTCCACACATGGATGACATTTAGGGTATTTTCTGCTGGTTTATTCAAACTACATTTATTTAAAAAATAATTTACAAACTTTACAACAGTGAATATAGTGTTTTCTAAACACATACATTTGTACACCTTGCTTTACAGTATCAGTAAATATTATGCAAATTTAGTCAAGAGGTGCAGAATCCCTTTTCCAAAGCTTGGCTCTGATGCTTTCTTCAGAACCAGTTTAAAAGCTGTATGTATTGGTGATTTAGCTGCAGAGGGATATGAAGCTACTTGCAGTCCACAGTAGTTTAAAAAAACGTAACCTCCCATAGAATCAAAATGGTCAGGTTAGTAAGGAGGCTGTTATAATGTACAAATAAGTTTTCCCCAGGATTGAAGAGGTAACATATCCCCCATCTCATGGTATTAAAGGGTCATAATACCAATGTCATCAATTAACACATACAGGGAGCTAGATCAGGCCAATATTGGCTGTATATGTTGACATTGTGTGGCATTATGTTGTAGGGTGAGATTTTCAGAAGCACGCTGGCCCAACTCTATTCTCATTAGGATATTATGTTCTTTAAGGTTTGTCTTTGCTACATGGTGCATCGGCACTGCAGCAATTGATACACTGGCAGTCAACGTATCCTGTCTGCTCAGACATGACAAATTGATCGCCAAGGGATCGCTCTTCGACTCTGGTACTCCACCAGAATGATAGAGAGCAGCTGGAGTCGACAGCAGAGCAGGCCTTGTTGACCTTACACCACCACAAGAAGTACAGCGACTTCAGTTATGCTGTTTGCATAGCTTAAATTGTGTAGTGCAGTGTAACCTAGGCCATAGTATGAGAGTTTACATAGACAGTAGAAACTAGTGGGATTTAATAGAAGCTGAGTGCAAGTTTACACTACAAACAGTGCAGATTAACCTCTGAAGCGCTTTAAAGGTGTTCTAGGCCAGGGGTCTACACTATGCAGCTTCTACCAACAAGGTTGGCACAGCCCTGTTGCTAAAGTCAGTGTGCATGATAGGGAAGTAAGCGACTAGTTGACTACCTGGTAAGCCTAGGCTTATCAGGTTGTTGAGTCATTACTCAACTAGTTGCTCCTCCCCCACCTTGCTGCCTCTGTATCAGAGGCAGCTTGGGGAAGTGGGGGGGAAGAAGGGGAAGGGAGAATGGTGCTGGGGTGGGCGGGGAGCTGGCTTAAAAGCCGGTTTCCCCCAGCACCATCTCCATGGGGCAGGCATGGGAGAGAGAGGCGCAGCAGGGTAAATGGCACGAGCAGGGACTCTTAGAGGGAGGTTCTTGTCGGGCAATTACACAGTCTGGTCTAGAGCAGTTGCTGGAAATGAAAACAGGGAACTCTTACTACATGTAAAAGGCAGAGGTGGCATAGCAAGCACCTCCCGCCTCTTATGGAGTAGTCGATGGATACTCAATCGACTACTTGATTAGGTGAGTAATTGAAATTTAACATCCCTACTGTGTGAATGCTTTGGATTGGCACATTTGCTGACAAAATACTTCCCCTCCTAGGAGGGGGTTTTGCTTTACTGGCAGTAGAGCGCTCCTGCCAACAAAGCATCAGTTACACTTGAATGTAGCTGCGACACTGGCACAATTTCACTTGCTGTGGCACAATTTTATTGTTCATAATGTTCATGCATAGGGAGGGTGATAAGCACCCATGAATAACAAAACTTTTATCGATCAGGTGCAAGCATAGACATAGCCTAAGTCAACAAAAGAGTGCTCACCCCTCAATTTAATTACTCCATCTCTCTGAGAGACGGTAGCTACTTCGGCAGAAGTAGTTACTATAACTCCGTTGCTCGGGGTGAGGGTTTTTCATGCCCTGAGTATCACAGCTACATTCAAGTGTACTGTAGTCCTGGCCTGAGTTGGACCAACACTGGGTGTATGCTTCTGAACATCACTCCCTTGCAAGGTCATGAGATTAATTCAGCCATATTAGTCTGGTGTTTTCAGATTCCCTTGGAATCTTAGAAGGAGGTTCTTGCCAGGCAATTACACAGTCTGGTCTAGAGCAGTTGCTGGAAATGAAAACAGAGAAGATATGATTGAGCAGCTTTTAACAAACAGCTGGGATTGAAAAAGGGAACCAGCAGGCTTCAGGAATGTTTTCACAACCGAAAAAACCCAACAGTTAAATTACAGACATATCAGTATTTTAATATTTCCATTTACAATTATAAAAATAAATAAGGAGAGTAAATCTGGGGTAATGAATCGTACATTATCACTACCACTAGCACTGTTCGGTTGGGGTTGACACAAGCAGGAAAGTTTATTAGATGCAAATTTTCAACAGCTCCTGGATAGGGCTGGCTGCCTCTTCTACCACTGCCCCTCCCAGAACAGTTTTCACACGAGACACCCTTCTTTCCCAATCCTAGAAGCAAAAGGCAAAGCTGCCCATTTGTCCACCAGGCTCGGATAAGACCCTCTCATATTTTAAATAAAATGTTATCTTAGTAATACAAATTGTCATTAAGAGCCCCCAAAAGGCAAGTGTTGGCCAAATTTCTCAGTGGAAAGAAAGTGAATAGACAAACAGATTCCAAGGCCGGAAGGGACCACTGTGATCCTCTCATCCGATCTCCTGAATAATGCAGACCATTGAACTTCCCCACAATTATTCTTGTTTGACCCAGAGCAGATTTTAGGAAAACACTATCATGTTTTATAAGGCTGGGACTTGAAGTATAACGCTGGTTTTGAAGAGCAAAGCCATTTGGGTTCCCAGGTTTGATTTTTTTTCTTTATAATAAGCAGCTTTCATTTCTGTCATGGACTGATCATATGCCACGGGGCTTGGCTTTTGTCATCATTTGAAGATACTGGACAAAAATGTCAATAGCGTTCAAAGAACTGAAAATCCTAACTCCCATTTTCAAAATGGATTTCGGTGCCTAACTCCCATTTACTTTCAATGAAACCTAGTTTTTTGAGGGCCAGCTATTTAGAATCCTAATGATGCAGATCAGTATCGTGTGGGATTTTAAGAGGTGCCAGGGTGCCTAGCCTAGTATTGATTTAAATACCCAAATGCCTTTAAAAATCTGGCACTTAAGAGCCTATTTCTCTTTTGAAAATGGAAACTAGGCTCCTAAATCACTTTGATGCTTGAAAATGTGCCCTTTCAGAGGCAATCTGATTTATACTAGCTGAGGATTAACCCCTTAAGCACTGCACTCCAATCAACAACGTGGCTTTAAGGAAACAAACCTCCACTCATGAAGAATGAGGAGCTCTAAGGTGCCACAGAACTCCTCGTTGCTTTGACAGATACAGACTAACCCGGCCAACCCCTCTGAGACTCTCTGCTCATGAGCACGGTTTCCATACACAATGATAAAGAAAGGCTAACTCAAGTGAGACACAGACTGGAGCCATAGCAAATAAAAACTCCCCAACTTTGAGCCCCTGCCCCAAAAGTGAGTGTTTAAAGATGGATGAAATACATGGTCCCTCTCAAAACCACAGCCCTGTCCCACTCCTGCAGAAATAAGGTTTCAGCTATACGAAGTTCAGACTTGCCAGACAACAAGCCAGCAAGAAGAGACATTTGAATTGTGCAGCTGGCATATCAAGGCAAACTGTAAGGAAGTTGTCAGGCAAGTTGGTGCCAGGAAGCAACCTGTTTAAAGAGCTCAACCCCTAATGGAAGACAAGAATCAAACTGGCTTGTATCAGTCACAGTGTAAAAAAAAAAAAAAAAAAAGCTTAAGGCTTCTTGGTTCAGAGTCAACAGCTAGGGGAGCGGTCAGAAACTACATTCACCTTCCCAGCTTGCTAAATGCGCCACAAGAAGATGGAAAGTAACTGGTGACTGGCAGCTGGATGGCAGAAAAAATTTGTCCCCCTTACAGACCAGGTACCTTGTCCATCAATCCTCTCTGTAACAAGCCTGAAAAAATGGGAAATTAACAGGCATTTAAAAACAGGTGGAAGGGGGAAATGTCAGGATGCTGCAAGAGATGGGCCCAAGCTGCAAATGGCAGATTTGGATCCAAAGTTCAGGGGTCTCTGGACTGAGGTTTTGAGTTTGGTTTGTTAGAATTAAGGCGGCAAAGTTCTTTCCAAATTTCAAGGTTGTTCAAATCTGGACTTTCTGATCAGGTCCAGTTCTTCTTTGATGTACAGTTGGTAAGCACACAAAATATACCAGCAAGTAAAGGCTAATGGAGTCAATCAAATCACAGAGAAACAGAACTAGCAAGGAGTCAGGCAGGGCTGGCCTGTCCCTGCAGTGCTCCCTTACTCACTGAGGGAAAAGCCACTAGCTATAGTTCTTGCAAAGATTCATGCTTTCCTCTGGATATCTCGAGTGAGAGGAAAAGTACCACTCTATCCATTTTGTGCCTGGAACAGCTTCTGTAGTGCAAGGAAACAGCATGCAGCAGATACTGACTGATCAGTACAGGACTGGAAAAGTGACTGAATTAAGACCAGGTGAAATATGCGCACACACGCGCGCGCGCGCACACACACACACATACACACACACTTCACTTATTACCAGACCCTGCGGTCCTTTGTCGGAAAAAAATTCCACTGAAGTCAGTAAGAGTTTTGAGTGAGGACTTCAGGATTGTGTGGGTCCGGCACGGCAGGGAAAGGGTGAGTCCAAAATAAGAAAACCTCGAGGTTGTCAAGTCAACTCAAGTCTATGTCCAAAAATGTAACGTGGAACTGACGATGTCTAGGAAGCCCCGGGGAGGGGGTGGAATACAGTCAAGATGTTCAGAAAGGTTTTCAGAGCCTTCCCTGGAGAAGGCAGCTGTCCAAAGGACAGTAGCGGGTGCACTCTAGCAAACCCAGCAGCAGGCATATGCGATGTGACTGCAGTGTGACTTCCAAAATGTCTCCAGCTTCTTTGGTGATGTGAATCTGATCTGACCCTTTAAGGGATGCAATCTGTTTGTGGAGCCATGCAAAATGCAGCTTCTGTAGGTTTCAGTTTTTTGCCAGAGTCAGACGCCAAAGAACCATAATACAAAAGACAGGTTTGTTCCAGTTGGAATAAAAAATACAACAATACTAATGGACAGGACTTTACTTAGGCTTAAAGGCCTTTGGGGTTTTCAATGAGGTAATGAAACTAATTTCTCCTGCCACTGCAATACAAAATATGTTGGAATGAGCTTTAATTAAAAATATGATGAACATTCGGAACATTGCAGGCTACCTCTTCAGCCATGTTTTCAGTGGATCTACACGATTTAAATGACCCAAGGACCTGGCCTTCTAATCAGAGCTGGTCCTGAACAGGGTTCCCTCTAATCTTTTCAATCCATGTGCAGAATAATTTTTTTGTGCACCGAAGCACGTGTGAACGTGCACCCCCAGAAGAAACAAAAAACCTACCTGTGCAGCACTCTGCCAATCAGCTGGGTGGCATTTGAATTTCTCCTGAGCGGCTTCACAAGCACACAGTTCACAGGGAACACTGGCCCTGAACCAAATCTCTGCTCTCCTTGCAAATCTGGTGGCTGTTCAGATCGGTTTCCAAACGTTGCAGGTGGCTCCATTGCTATGACAGGGCTGAACTAAAATCATCACTAGGCTTAAGGATTCTGCAATCCAAATGGGTTTTGATCCAGTCACACAGGTTACGTTCACACTGCAATACAGACCCAGGGCATGCCTGTATCAGTGGACTTGGGCTTGCAGAGTTTGGGCTGTGGGGCTATACAATTGCAGTGTAGATGGCTGGGCCCCGAGAGGGAGAGGACTTCAGAGTTCAGGTTCCAGTCCAAGGCCAAACATCTGCACTGCTGTTTTTAGCCTTATGTGGTCAAGTTGAATCTGGGTGCCACGGGCTTTTTATTACAGTGTAGACATCCCGTAAGCTATTTTGATGATGAGCCTCATGTCCAAACCTAAACTGATAAAGGGAATGGGGAATATTCTGGGCCCGCCCCTATAGAAAGGATGTGGATGCACTGGAGAGGGTCCAGCGGGAGGCAACCAAAATGATGAGGGGGCTGGAGCACTTGACCTATGAGGAGAGGCTGAGGGATTTGGGCTTATTTAGTCTGCGGAAGAGAAGAGGGAGGGGGGATTTGAGAGCAGCCTTCAACTCCCTGAGGGGAGGTTCCAAAGAGGATGGAGAGAGGCTGTTCTCAGTAGTGACAGATGGCAGAACAAGGAACAATGGTCTCAAGTTACAGAGGGAGAGGTCTAGGTTGGATATTAGGAAAAACTATTTCATTAGAAGGGTGGTGAAGCACTGGAATTGGTTACCTAGGGAGATGGTGGAATCTCCATCCCTAGAGATTTTTAAGTCTCGGCTTGACAAAGCCCTGGCTGGGATGGTTTAGTTGGGATTGGTCCTGCCTTGGGCAGGGGGCTGGACTCGATGACCTCCTAGGGTCTCTTCCAGCCCTAGGATTCTATGAATATGGTCCCCCTAGTTCTTTCATTTACGAAAAAGAGCAAGCACTCATTTTTAAAAATTGACCTCAGCTATCCAGAGGACCACGTGATCAAAAAATTATGGACAGACTTCAGAGTGATGAAAATGAGCGGGAGCTGGAGGGACTGATTCATGAAACAAGATAACAAGAATTACGGTCACAGCCTATAAAGCTGGACAAGCGAGATGACTCAGGGCTTGAGCCAAGCCTACTATATTCTCTGGAAAGATGCCCATTGACTGCCGCTCTCTGTGGATCATGATGGCAGTTAGGGTTAATGAGCATAATTATTTCTCAGAAGAACCAAGGATAGAAACCCCCATATCCCACAGTTTTGCTTGCACTTTTCCTGCTGCAAAGTCATGGGACTCAAGCTTGCTTTCCTTTTCTTTAAATCAGGAATGTCTCCACTGAAGTCAGTCGCGTTACCCTGGTGTAACTAAGATCAGAATCGGGCTATGGGCCTCATCTGGTGCAAGATAGCTTAGCTCAAGTGAAGTAAACAAGGCGACCCTGATTTACCCCAGCTTCAGATCTGGTCTGACTTCTCAGATAACCCTTTCCTGATTAGAAATGGGCCCAAACCAAAACTCAGGATCCAGGCACCCCGAAACCAAACTTTAGATATGTACCCAGTCTGAACACCTCAGCTGGCTCCTTTCTCTGATGGGTTGAGCTAAATCCCCAGACTCAAAGACCCCTCTGATCTTTCAACAAGTTTGGATCCAGACCTGGACTTCACAGGCTGACTGCCTCTCTGTTCTGGATACCTCCGGAGATTTTTTACGGAAAGATGAACAGCAGCAAAATTGTCACATTCAGCACATGCCACTCACAAGGAACTAGAGTCATCCAAGAAATCAGAAACTTCAGGGTTAACTGCCCAGTCTTTCATGGCCCTCTCAGGACTAGGTCTGACTCCTTTGAGTTTAGTGATTGGTACAAGGTAAGGCCGTGTTTTTCAATCTGTGGGTCCCGACCCCTCAGGGGGTCGCGAGCAACTTAGAGGGGGGTCGCGGTATCACAAAGTTTGAGAACCCCTGAGTTAGGGCAAGCGTTTTGTGTGTCGAATACAATGGAAGCTCAGGGACAAAAGGCACAAGAGTTGTGATAACAGAGCGTGTGCTGTTGGCCAAGACAGATCATTGGGATTTGACAGGCTATGCCGCTTGGTTTATGAGAGTCAGATCTGTATTGTGATAAAAATCCACAGCACCAAGCCTCAGAGAGCCCAGGTCAACTAGGCTGACCAGACGCAATCTGATAGTTGGGGCCTGGTCTTGTATAGACAAGAATCCCTTCCCCTGAAAAAAGGGCCCCGATTTTCACGCTTGTTAAAGCCACTTAGCTTGGGCTTGAGCTGGGGGGCAATCAATAGCAGTGTTGACATTTTGCCTTGGGACCTTCCCCCACTGTAGGCTCCAGCCCCACCCTGAATGTCGGCGCTGCAATCTTATAGCCCCATTGCCCAAGCCCTATGAACCTGGCTCGGCTGACCTGGGCTAGCTGCGGCCATGTCAGGGTCGTCTCACACACTACAGACGTAACGTCTGCCCCTCTTGCTGAGCTGCCCATAGTAGCAGCAGCCTGGCGATGCTAAAGCAGCGAGTCCCGTGGAAGAGAGGACGTTACCACCGTTCCTCAAACAAGATGCAGTGCATGGTGGCCCGTGGGCACGCTGGCTGGGACAAAGTGCAGCGCCAACCGCGTGGCCGTGTTCCAACAGGAACCAGCAGCGAGGGGTGCGGCGGGCACAAGCTCTCCCCTGGGAGCGAGCTACCCCCGTTGCTGGCCCACGTGGGGGCAACCCGCCCTCACCTTCACCACAAAGGGGCACCCAGCAGATACAATAGGGCTCAGCCAGTGACGTTCATTTTTGCTCCCAGCCGATCTCAGGACACAATCAGAACCTCCTAAGGCCACTTCAATGAGGCGCAGCATCACATGGCGGCACCTAGCGTCTCTAGGGGCCGCACTTCCCAGATGGGACCAGCTGTCGTCTCTTCCATTCCACACCAGTCAGAGCTCTCCTTTGCCTCCCCTCCCCCACGGGTGCAGCTGCGTAGGCCCCAACTGCCAGGGCAGTTTCAGCGTTGTGCATCACTGTGGCTTACCTGTTTACACCAGCGCTGCCCCTCTGCACAAGGGGTTTGCACTGCCGCAGGTTCACGGGAGGAACCACTACGCCACAGACTAGGCCTTTTGGGGTGGGGGAGTTTCAGATTTCCGGTAACGCTGCCTCCATTTTAAAACTCACAAGGGTCCCCGTAGGGCTTAGTGTCTTAATGCGTGCCAGGAAAATCAGAGATTTGGGAATGCGAAGGGTAGACCGTTCACGTGGCTTATTCTGGAACGATCTGGAGAAATTCCCAGGGAAAGGAATGGGGGATGAGATCAGTCTCTAGGGCTGGAAAGATCCAGCAGCCCATTTTGCTCCAGGTGTGAGACCCTTATTGCGATCCCTGCTCCGAAGAGATCACGCTGGATTTTCTCGCTTTCGGAGGCGGAGGGGGAGGTTTGACTTCACGCCTGCTGGGCAGTGGCGGGGCAATCTGGGGACGATAAAACACACAATCAGAGAGAGGTGTGAGACGTTCTGCTCTCCCAGGCAACAGACATGTAGACGCTATCCCTGCTACTTATTTCAAGATTAAACTCTCCGATTTCACTCTAGACAGAACTCCTCCGCACCAGAGGATGGAACTAGGGATGTTAAATATCGGTTCATTGAATAGTCGAGTAACCTCATGAATTTTTATTGGTTAGTCAACTATTCTATAGTCCCCAGGGGCGGGGCCAGCAGCCAGTGAAGTCTGGCCCCACTCCTGAGAAGCCCCTTGCCATCCTGCGCTGCTGCCTCTCTATCAGAGGCAGGGTGCCAGGCAGGATCTGGTCCACGAGGGGAGTCAGTTTAAAAACCAGCTCCCCTCATGGACTGGCTGCCTGCTGTCCCGCGCTGCTGCCTCTGTATCAGAAGCAGCAGCACAGGGTGACAGGCAGGTGGTCTGCTTCTATTACACTTTAAATGCAGAGCTGCAGCAGGGATGGGTTCTGGACTGGTGGGAGCCAGAACTGAGCCAGGCTGCTGGGCAGCCTGCAAAAAATTTACTGGCAAGGGTGGGGGGAAGGAAATGCGTATAGCCGATAGCATTAACCTATAAACTTTTGCTTATTGGTTAATCTGTTAATCGACTATACTATTACACACAAGACTGGACATCAGCCTTTGTCTCGCTGCAACCAGTGGGGATGTTTTCTGCCTGACTCAGTTGTGCCTCCACTACGGCTACTACCGGAACGCATGGCTGTCCTTAGGATTTATGGGGCCCTGCACAGTACTGTTCAACCGGTGCTCCCGCGCCCGACGGCGGCCAAGTGGGTCCAGGGGATGATTTTTTAGAGACGTGATTTTACAATCTGACGCAACACACTCAGGACATTTTTAAAGCAAATTTGAAACTAAGGTGCTGTGGGAGAACACAGTCAATTCAGAAAGGGACAGGAAATACCTAGGGTTGGCCAATGCCTCTTACGTGGCTCCGTTACCCCTTGACTGGCTGTGTCACAGGTTCGAAGGTCTGCCAGACTGTGCTACCTTCAAGCTAACCAGAGCCTCTCCGGAGGGAGAAAAGCCACAGAGCAGGGCTAGGAAGAGGTGGGGGGTGGACATTAAGACCCAGCGATGCCCCAAATTTTCAGATGCCTGGCTCAGCTGCGTGTTCTGCATAGGGGTCAGGACATGAGCATGGGAAGCCCAGCCCAGCTCAGATCACAGACATGGTCTAAATACCCCCAAGCATTTTTAAAATCACTCTCTATAAAAACGGTTTTCCTGCGGGACGACAGTATGACATCATCATGTCTCTCTGCATCCCGCCTGCCTCCTCTCCTTTCCCCAGTGCTTGGCTGCTGCATGGGACCTGTGAGGCCTCAGAGAGGCCCTCCCATGGCAGGCGGGGGGAGAGTGTGGGGCCTGCGAGGCCTCAGAGCAGCCCCCCCTGCTCCTCTCCCAGCAGGTGGGGGGAGAGCGCAGGGCCTGTGAGGCCTCAGAGCAGCCCCCCTCTCTGCTCACTGCTGACTGGGAGGAGAGTGTGGGGCCTGCCATGGCCGGGAGGGGGAGTTAGGGTTAGGTTGCAGTGGGGGAGGAAGGTGTGTGGGGGGGAGAAAAAGGGTGTGAGCTGGCATGGCCAGGGGAGGGCAAAGAGGCCCAGGTTGGTGTGGGCGGGGAGGGAGAAAGGACCCGGGCTGGCGTGGGCGGGGAGGGAGAAAGGGCCCGAGCTGATGTGGCCTGGGGAAGAGAAGGGACCTGGGGTGGTATATCGGGGGGTGAGCGGGGGAAGGAGAAGGGTCCCGGGATGGTGTGGCCACAGCCTGGCCCTCCCTGATGGCTGGGGTGAGAGCCGGAGTTGCCTACCCCCCTGTAAAAGGGATGTTCAAGGTCACAATGGCTGCATTTCAGTGCCGGTTGAAAGGATCCTTATAAACACAGCTTGGGCATTAATGTGCCAACCTTGTAAAGCTCTTTCAGATGCTTTCCAATAAAAGGCATTACAGCAGGACACATTGACAATATTATGATGCCACAGTCAGACGGTGACTTTAGGAAGATCAGAAAACTGCCTTGGCCTATAGTTTTAATGCTGGTTTTCAGCAAATGAAAAGCACCTGCCCTTGGAAAATCAGGCTTCTCCAAAGTGTCTTAAAATTGAGCACTCAGAAATCACTAGTCACTTCTGAAAATCTTGACCTAGCAGTTCTTCCTGTCCTCCCCTCCCTCCCGCTGCCCTGTACTGGAGAACACTGTGATATTTATACCCTGACTTTAGTTATTAAATTCCCAGGTCATCATGTTTTCAATAACAAGAAAACACCGAACATTTGATAATACATATTTTGCCAAGGAAGGAAAAGCCTGTTCTTTTCAGCGGAAGAAAGGGTCCAGCTAGACTGTCTTCCCATTAAATGGAAAACTTCTTGCTCTCTGGTGGTTTCAGGAAACAAATCAGTAAACGGATCAGACAAGTTTCAAGTAGCAAAGCAACTGGGAAAATTCCACTGGTGCTGCTTTCTCAAGATCCGGCTTCCAAACAAGTGTCAGCTCCAATTTCCTTACCTCTACGGAGTTCCGCGAGTTGCTATTCTCATAGGGTTTGCTCTTGGGCGGAGGTGGGGGCGGGGTGCTCTGGAAGTTAGCAGTTGCCAATCCATCAGCCTGCAATGAGGGAAAACCTAGAAACAATGAAAAGATATTGAAAGCAAAGGAGACTGAAATGAGGGTGGGATGACCACACGTGATTTTTAAAGGACAATTATTCCTACGTTTTGTTTTGTTTTAATCTTCTCACCGGTCCCCTACCATGTTAGCAGATAAACCTTAACAGATGTGTCTAAATCAAATCCCAGTTGCAATTCCCTTAACTTCAAAAGATCCAGAAGATTTCTACATTTGCAATGTGAATTTTAACCCATGTGAACAAGGCATGGCTAGGAGAGCAGAAACTTGAATTCATTATCCCACCTGAAATGTTCAGAGGGGTTTCTCTTCGGCTCAGGCTTTTACCGCAACAATAGTTTTGATTTTAACTCCTACTGGTGGGGTAAGTAAGTATCCAAATTTCTGAAGAATTTCCTAAGAAACTGTCCCCTACTAATTACAATTTGGTTCTTTACTTCAACCAAGTTTTTTGATTCCCTTCTCTGATTTCTTATAGCTCAGCACATTAGTTCTTGCAGTTTATTTCTGAAAATGGTGTTTAAGTTCTCTCATTAATTCTATCTTAAGTTACAGATACAAGATACTTCTATACTCCATCTTGTACCATTTAAAATACATCAGAATCTAATTCTCTTCTCATGCCAATTTTACAGTAGGGTATCGCCACTGGTTTCCTCAAGATCATCTAGTTAGAGACATAAAGGGTAACAAGATGACATTCTATAAATATATTAAAAGCAAGAGGAAGACCAAGGATAGGGTAGGCCCATTGCTCAGTGAGAAGGGAGAAACAATATCAGGAAACTTGGAAATGACAAAGGTGCTTAATGACTTCTTTGTTTCGGTTTTCACCAAGTTTGATGGTGACGGGATGCCAACATAGAGAATGTTAGTGGAAATGGGGTAGGTTTAGAAGTTAAAATAAAAAAAGAACAAGTTAAAAATGACTTGGAAAAGATAGATGTCTTCAAGTCACCAGGGCCTGATGAAATGCATCCTAGAATACTCAAGGAGCTGATAGAGGAGGTATCTGAGCCTTTAGCTATCATCTTTGGAAAATCATGGGAGACAGGAGAGATTCCAGAAGACTGGAAAAGGGCAAATATAGCACCTATCCATATAAAGGGAAATAAGAACCCAGAAAACAATCAGTTTAACTTCTGTGCCAGGGAAGATAAAGGAGCAAGTAACTGAGGAATCCATCTACAAACAACTGGAAGACAATAAGGTGTTAGGAAACAGCCGGCATGGATTTGTAAAAAAGAAAGTATGTCAAACCAATCTGATAGCTTTCTTTGATAGGATATCAAGCCTTGTAGATAAGGGAGAAGTGGTGGATGTGGTATACCTAGACTTTAGTAAGACATTTGACACTGTCTCACATGACTTCTTATCAATAAACTAGGGAAATACCACCTAGATGAGGCTGCTATAAGATGGCTGCATAACTGGCTGGATAACCGTTCTCAGGGTATGTCTACACTACCCCCCTAGTTCGAACTAGGGGGGGGATAATGCAGTCATACGGAGTTGCAAATGAAGCCCAGGATTTGAATTTCCCAGGCTTCATTTGCATAAAGCCGGCCGGCGCCATTTTTAAATGCCGGCTAGGTCGGACCCCGTGCCGCGCGGCTACACGCGCCACGGACTAGCTAGTTCGGATTAGGCTTCCTAATCCGAACTAGCTGTACACCTCGTTCCATAGGAAGCCTAATCCGAACTAGCTAGTCCGTGCCGCGTGTAGCCGCGTGGCACGGGGTCCGACCTAGCCGGCATTTAAAAATGGCGCCGGCCGGCTTTATGCAAATGAAGCCCGGGAAATTCAAATCCCGGGCTTCATTTGCAACTCCATATGACTACATTACCCCCCCTAGTTCGAACTGGGGGGGTAGTGTAGACATACCCTCAGAGAGTAGTTATTAACGGTTCACAATCATGCTGGAAGGGCATAACAAGTGGGGTTCCACAGGGGTCTGTTTTGGGACTGGTTCTGTTCAATATCTTCATCAACGATTTAGATATTGGCAGAAAGAGTTCGTTTATTAAGTTTGCAGATGATACCAAGCTGGGAAGGGCTGCAACTGCTTTGGAGGATAGGGTCATAATTCAAAATGGTCTGAGATAAATAGGACAAAGTTTAGTAAGGACAAAGGAAAAGTGCTCCACTTCGATAGGAACAATCAGTCTCATACATACAGAATGGGAAGCGACTGTCTCGGAAGGAGTACGGCAGAAAGGGACCAAACAGCGTGACACTGTTGCAAAAAAAGTGAACATGATTCTGCGATGCAGTAACAGGAGTGTTGTGAGCAAGACACGAGTAGTCATTCTTCCACTCTACTCTGTGCTGATTAGGCCTCACTTGGAGTATTGTGTCCGGTTCTGGGCACCATATTTCAAGAAAGATGTGGAAAAATTGGAGACGGTCCAGAGAAGAGCAATAAAATGATGAAAGATCTCAAAAACATGAGCTAGGAGGGAAGGCTAAAACAACTGGGCTTGTTTAATTTGGAAAGGAGAAGACTGAGGAGGGGGATATGATTGAAGTTTTCAAGTACCTAAAAGGGCGTTACAAGGAGGAAGGAGAAAAATTGTTCTCTTTGGCCTCTGATGATAGGACAAGAAGCAATGGGCTTAAATTGCAGCAAGGGAGGTTTAGATTGGACATTAGGAAAAACTTCCTGTCAGGGTGGTTAAACACTGGAATAAATTGCCTTGGGAGGTTGTAAAGTCTCCATCACTGGAGATATTTAAGAGCACATTAGACAGACACGTATCAGGGATGATCTAAATGGTACCTGATCCTGCCAGAAGGGGAGAGGACTAGACTTGATGACCTCTCGAGGTCCCTTTAAAGTTCTAGTGTTCTAGGATTCTATGATCTCATCTGAGGAAGTGGGTTTTGCCCACGAAAGCTCATGACACTATATACATATTTCTGTTTCTAAGGTGCCACAGGACTGCTAGTTGTTTTTAAAAGTTGTTTCCTGATTTATAGTGGTGTAAGAGAGAGAGAGAGAGAGAGGAGAATCAGGTCCAAGTGTGAGCTTCTGTCCCTTTAAAACATGGAGTTTTGGTCATGTCAGTCCCAGAATATTAGAGACACAAGGAGGAGGTGGTAAAGGTTGAACCTCCTAAATCCGGGACTCTGGTTCAGCAACATCCGTAGTCCAGCAGGATCACGGATTTTGTTGGACCAGAGAGCCCTGGTGCCCTGGAGCGCAAGCCGGTCAGGAGTCCAGCAGCGGGAGAGCTCCACAAGTGGGACTGGGGAGCCCCAGCTGGCTGTGGCACAGCAGAGCAGCCACGGAGCCCTGACCCGGTGTGACACAGCGGGGGAGCCATACAGCCCAGACCCAGGAAGCCCCGACCAGGCAGGACAGAAGTGGGGCCACGGCGAATGGAAGCTTTGTCCCTGGAGAGTACCAGCCAACTGGTAGAAGCAGGCCAGAGCCAAGCCCCAACCTGTAATATCTTTTATTGGACCAACCTGACGAGAGAAGCTTTCAAGAGCTCTGTCTCACCCACAGAACATGGTTCAACAAAAGACGGACCAGTCAGGTCCCCGAGGGTGCCAGACCAGGGAGGTCCAACCTGTAATATCTTTTATTGGACCAACCTGACGAGAGAAGCTTTCAAGAGCTCTGTCTCACCCACAGAACATGGTTCAACAAAAGATATTCCCTTGCACAAACTGTCCTTTTAACACATGGCGGAGAACACCCAAGCAAGAAATGCAGTAAAATAGAAACAGGGACAACTTTCAACTCCTCCCCCCCCCACATCTTCTAAAGCTATCCATCTGAGCCAGCCAAATCCCATATTTGCTTACATAAGGGATGCACTCCATAGGGCTATGTCTAGACTGCAAGCCTCTTTCGAAAGAGGCTTTTTCGAAAGATACTTTCAAAAAAGCCTCTTTCGAAAAAGAGCGTCTAGACTGCAAGCGGAACTTTTGAAAAAGCAAGCTGCTTTTTCGAAAGAAAGCAGCGAGTGAGTCTGGATGCTCTCTTTCTAAAAAGCCCTGTTGGCTATTCAAGAACGCCTTTTTTCGAAAGAGCACTTTCGAAAAAAGGCGTTCTTCCTCGTGAAATGAGGTTTACCGCCGTCGAAAGAAAAGCCGCGTTCTTTCGATTTAATTTCGAAAGAACGCGGCTGTAGTCTAGACGCAAGTGAGGTTTTTTCGAAAAAAGGCTACTTTTTTTTGAAAAAACCCCGTGACTCACTTTCATTATCTACTAAGATACAATCCCTCTTTGACAGGACATTTTTAATTTGCCTCCTGAGTTTTCAGCAGCAATTGATGTGTCCTTGCAAAACTAATTGCCACAAGATGGAGCGGGAAGACACTGACAGCTAGAACTTGCCGTTCACTTATTTCTAGCACAGAGTGCAAGTTTTGCCCAAGACTGAAGTCAGAGACCTGTTAAAAAACATGTCTGGTTTAATTGGGCTCCCACTAATCCCTCGGACTTCACTGGGGCCACTCTTGATTTATAGCAACAAGATCAGCAAGTCCTATAAGTCAAACACGCTCTATCATGCTAAAGACAATGGGCCTGATTTGCAGATGCCCCCCAAATAACTGCACTGGCATTTTACTGAGAAGTTGAACTAATAGTATCAGTTCCTGCCATTCACTGAAAAACCTGGATGAAAAAAACCAGGCCCAGTAGGTTAAAAATAACTATGTGAAGTTTAATTTCAATGTAATAGGTCACATACAATTAACAGAGATTACTTCAGTCCCTTTGGTAACACACAAAGTCCGTACGGTGAATGGAAAAAGTCACCGTCTCTTTTAATCAACTTCCCCGCCCAATTTTCTTCCCTGGTGTGAAGCCGACATTAGCTGTAGGGCTCTCTCTGCTAAAACATGGTACATTCTATTGCCACGGATGCAGTCCGGAACGCAAGCTGCACTGTCATGGGACTTACTGTGGGTTCTTGGGGTTTTCGGTGTGATTGGGGGCGGACTGAGCGGTGTTGGCTGCTGGAGTGAGGAGCTTTGAAGCAGTGTCAGTTTTCCGTCTCCTAACGGAAGACTCTTTGGTCTCTGCACTTTTCCGGATGCGTTCTGAGGGAAAACAGAGTCAACAAAACCTTTTGAAGTCGGCAAGGTGGCTACACATGTTGATACAACTCGACCTGTCAGGCAGGCATCAGCATGTTCCAGAGAAGCCACGTACAGGACAGTTAGGAGCATTCAGGGGAAACAGAAGAGACCAAGCACCGAGCTGGCTATGCAGTGTCAAAAGGTGAATTTTCCAGCCACATAAGCCACCAAATCAGAGGTTCATTTAACTGCACATCCAGGAATGTAATCTATGCCATCAAATGCCAGCAATGCCCCACTGCAATATATATTGGACAAACTGGACAGTCCCTACGGGAGAGAATCTATGGACACAAATCAGATATCCGTAAAGGGAACATACAAAAACCTGCGGGGGAACACTTCAATCTACCAGGGCATTCATTAACAGATCTTCAAGTGGCTGCTTTGTTACAGACCAATTCCACAAGCCAAATACACAGGGAAGGACTGGAACTACAATTCATTCCCAAGTTCATCCATGCTAATAGATTAAATAAAGATACCAATGGCTGGGACATTATCAACCTACCAAACACTGAAGGTGCCAATGATTCTTTGTCTGTATAATATCTGCTGTTAGTACTCTTAGAATCATAAAGCTGGAAGCAGGAGGTCATCGAGTCCAGCCCAACTAAATCAACCCAGCAAGGGCTTTGTCAAGCCAAAACATCTCTATTGCCAACTAATAGTTCTTATCTGCCTCTTTTGACTATCCAGTCTATAGGTGCTTGTAGACTATTTGTTTTTCTTGTTACATTCCAGCTCAGCTTTCCCCTTGATATTTTTATACCCACCCCCGCCCTATTTATTTTAGTTCTGGACATCCAACACTCCGGTTATCTGAAGAAGTGGGCTGTGCCCACAAAAGCTCATGATACCATCTACATGTTTTATTAGTCTTTAAAGTGCTACCAGACTATTTGTTGTTTTGTAAGTTTATCCTGTACAGACTAACTCGGCTACCCCCCTGAAGCTTCTATGCACTATGATGCTACCACTGCTGGTCAAATTTACAGTGAGGATCTTACTAATTGGGTAGCATTGCTCACAGAAATTTCACTATATCCATTAAGGAAGGAAGAGGATTTTCATAGCAGGGAAAGAATGCAGGGTGGAAAACAGTTGCATCTGACCTAGCCATTCTATGGACACTTTTGCAAAGGGCAGCTACTGAGAGAAGGCAAAGAAAAATAGTTTAGGTAATAGGTACCAGGACCAGAAAAGACCATTTTAGTTATTCAGTACAAGAGTCTGCATTTTGCAGAACCAATCTCTCTTTCTCCAGCGAAGGAAGTGAGAGTTTAGCTGAAGGCGTTTGGAACTTGAGAGAATTAGATCCAATTTCGACCATGCCACAAACTCCCGACGTGGTCTTGGTCAACTCCCTTTGCCTCTGACTAAGATTTTCAAAGGAGCCTAAGGACGTTAGACATCCAGATTGGGAGTTGGGTGCCTAATTCTCTTAGTCTTCTTTGAAAACTTCAGCCTTTTTGCCTCAGTTGGCCTTCTATGAAATGGGGAAAATGATATCTGTGTTGCCTCACAGGGATACTAGAGAGGAATATTCAATAATGGTTATAAGATGCTCAAATACTGCACAGATGGGGGTTGGAGGAGTATCTAGATAGAAAGACTATTATCTTATTTAACCCACTCGACTTTCTGTGGTGCTGGGGGCTTAGACAGCTCCTTTCAGAGAGTCTGCCCCTACGCTGTTCCTAAGGATGTGTCTAGACTACAGGGTTTTCTCGACAAAAGTGGACTTTTGTCGACAAAGCTATACCTGCGTCTATACTACCGCCGAGTTCTGTTGACAGTAAGTTGACAGAACGTGGCAGTTTTGTCAACGGTGGTAAACATTACTCTACGAGGAATAACGCCATTTTTCGACAGAGTTATGTTGGAAAAAGGCGCTATTGCATCCACACTGCTTTTTCAAAAGTGAGCATCTAGACTCTCTGTCAAAAAAGCGGCTTCTTTTGCTGACAGAACTGGCTGTCGTCTAGACGTTCTTTTTCAACAGAGGCTTTGTTGACAGTATCTGTTGACAAAGCCTCTGTCGACAAAAGCCTGTCGTCTAGATGTACCCTTATGGTTAAACATTGCTCCTTCCAACAGCTAAATCATCACTGTAATTTGGCACAGATGCTGAAAATTCAGCATGTTCTGGTCAGTTTCTAGATGACACTTCACGACTGATCAGGACAGCCAGAGGCTCTGAGGCCATGAAGTGTTCATTCTAATGGTCAAATGTACGTACCTACCTTTGGACTTTATCTCCCCTCCCTCCATTACCATAATATCTGCATGCCTCATAGTCTTTAATGTATTTATCCTCACAACAATCCTTGTGAAGTAGGAAGTCCTGTTACCTTTATTACCAAGATGGGAAACTGAGACAGAATGCGGTGCCAAATTATTAAGGTATTTAAGGCTCTTAATTTCCACTAAATCAATACGAGTAAGGCACCCAAACACCTTTAATATTGAGGTGCTAAGCGACTTGCCCAAGGTCACAGATCTGTAGTGGAGCAGCTTGCTTTGTCAAAAGCCCTAGTGTCTTGACCATGGATCATCCCTTCTCAATTCCTAAATCTCAGGCCAGATCCTCAGCTACTGTACATTTGACTTCAATGGAGCCCTGCTGATTTACATCTGTTGAGGATCTGGCCCTCTAAGTGGCTAGATAGCTGCTGCCTGTTTGAATATCGAGGGCTCAATCCTGCAAGGTGCTAAGTGCTTGAAGCTGTTCTAGGTGTCTGAGAGAGGCGAGGGTGCTGGAACTTCTACGCCTTAGGCTGCAAGTTTCCACTTTAAATCAAATTGCACTGTGGCTCCTGACAAGCGTTTTCCGAATAAAAGGCACGCAATTACTGAGGCCTTGTCTATACTTACCGGACAATCGATGCTTTGGAGATCGATCTTCCAGGGTTTGATTTAGTGGGTCTAGTAAGGACCTTCTAAATCGAACACAGAGGGTGCCCCCATCAATTCCATACACTTCGGAGATCTTGCCCCAGAAAATCGATGTAAGGTACATTGGAGATCTTGCCCCAGAAAATCAATGTAAGGTACATTGACTCCAGCGATGCAGTTCTTGTAGCCGGAGTTGCGTATCTTACATTGATTTCTCCCCCAGTGTAGACCTTGCCTCAGATGACCAGGGCCTTTGGGATTCAAACCCCTCCCAGTGTTTAGTGAAGATCCTAATGACAACCAAACCAACACTGTGCAAGTTATGTCTATGACTATTATTTTTACCATTTTGGAAGTCAGTTCGGCTTCTGGCTCCTTCTCCACAATCACCTGAGACTTGCTAACACTCCGATCCTTCCGCTTGAATTTGTTAATCCGGTTATCGGGGTCTTCTTTGGCAGGCAGCTCTTCAGCCTTGGAAGCTGATGACATCCTTCTCTCCAAGAGAGGCTCGAGAATGGATCTGCAGCCCACGCCGAGCAACCGAAACAAAGGAAGAAGCATTAGTCCTCTAGTGAGACGGCTCTCAGAGGCTCTGTAGTGCGCAAAAGTGAGTTATAGCCTCACAAGGCTTTCAAAGGGACTTGTATGTGTAAGTTAGACAGGCACTTTTGAAATAGCTTCCAAAGGACACTGATTATGCAATGAAGGAAGTGTCATGCAATGAATACAGGGCGCTGATCTGAGTGTTTTTGCCACCGGTGACTGTCACCGGTCACAAGTCACCTCGGCCCTGTGGTAACTACAGTAACGTCAGGGAAGGACAGCAATTCCATTCCGTACCATTTCCGAGCTGGCACCATTTGAACCATGTAGCTCTCTGCAAGCCGCAATTTGGGAACCACTGAACTACGTGACCTCATAGGATATTTATCTCTCTGTCTTCTAGGGCAGTGGTCTTCAGACCCAGGGTCGTGACCCAGTGCTGGGAGGTGGGATGTCGGGCGCTGGATCTCGTTGCTTCGGGGGATCAGGTGAGCAGTGGGGCAGGGCTAAGGCAACTCCCTGCCTGTCTTGGCACCACAGAAGTGGCCAGCAACAGGCCTGGTTGACAAGCACACAGGGCTTCATGCACTGCCCCTGCCCTGAGCACTAGCTCCGCACTCTCATTAGCTAGAACCTGCTGCCGGCTGCTTCTGGGCACTAGGGATGTTAAGTATCAGTTAACTGAATAGTCGATTAACCTCATCAATTATTATCGGTTACTCGACTATTCTATAGTCCCTGGAGCAGGACTAGCAGCCAGTGCACTCCAGCCCCACTCCTGAGGAGCCCTCTGTCACTCTGTGCTGCTGCCTCTGTATCAGAGGCAGCAGTGCAGGGGGGCAGGGGGG